AAGTCTGAATCCAGCACTACACCTAGATTTCGGGCCTGATCAGTGGTTACTAGCTAAAGCGACTGAAGCTGTGTGCTAACTTTAGATCTCTCCTCTATTGTTCCAAAGATTATTACTTCAGTTTTGTTTTTATTCAGTTGAAGAAAATTATGGCACATCCAGGCATTGATTTCTTCTAAGCATTTCCTCAGTGCTTGAATCGTATCACAATATTTCACCGGGAGTTTATGAAAATCTCTCTGACAAGCTAAACCCAGCTAAAATCAAATCTCTAAGAATTGGTTTCATTTTCGTTCATTCTAATGAAAGGTTTCAGTCTTTCCTTGATGTTGTTTCCCTGTTTGCATTTGGTAGAAATGGGAATTTTTCTTTCTCCTGGAGTTTCTGATTGTAGATTTGGGGAGGATTCGCTAGAGTTGCTGTAAATCAGGTTGGTCTTTGTCCATGCTGAGCTGTTGCTTTTCTCTGAGGTATTGCAGGATGGTCAGGCTCTATTTAGTAGCTGTGTCAGTAGTTACCATCTGGCTCTCTGATAGTTCTTTGGTACTGCCTGCCATCCACAACTTGGTTACAGATGTTTGAGATCGGCCTGTTTTTCAATGTAGTCCTGTTTCCTTGACTGGGCCTGGATGTGCTCTCTTCATCCTCTGACATGGGAACTGGCTCAGAGCTCATCTACCTGGCTGTGTGTTTCCTGGACGGGGAAACATTTCTCTGCTTCTTTTTCTATCTCTGCTTCTGTCTCCTTGAACCCCAGTCGGCCTCAACAGATGGCCGCTCACACTGATCCTGGTTCTGCTGGAGGTTTCTTCCTGTTAAAAGGGGTTTTTTCCTCTCCACTGTCGCTACAAGCATGCTTAGTGTGAGGGATTGCCTTTGAGTCAATGAGTCGAAACAATCAACTGGTTTTCCTTAGATAGAAAACTTTGAATCAATCTGACTGGATGATCTGTTGAACTGGAAAGTGCCTTGAGATGACATGTGTTGTGAATTGGCGCTATAGAAATAAACTGAATAGAATTAAGCTAATGGCCGATAGGTCAGTTTATGTCTGCTTATTGTGCCTGGTGGTCAAATCCTATTTGGGCTCTAAACGCTATCAGGGTGAATGCTTTGTGAATTAAACTTGTTTAATTGTGATTCTCATATAATGTGACTATTCCAGTTTAGGGTGACCCATCCTCTGCCTTGGAGATCTGAAATGTAGTATTTAGACAAAAGCCTTTTCCTGGGTGGCTCAGATGGTCCCATGGGGGGGTGGGCAAACTTTTCTGTCTTTGTTCTGTGGTTTGTAGGTGATTTCCTCTGTGCCTTGGCCAAAGTTCAGTTAGGATGTCAACAGGTTATGGAGAGATTCTTTAATGTTGTTGGAGATGAATGAAGCACTAAGGCTGTTTTGAAGGATATTTTGATTAAGCTAGGGCTAAGAAGTAAAATGATTAAAATGAGAGTTTAGGAATAGCTGGCTTGCTGTTGAACTTCCTTCACCTACACACTTGATCATGGAGCTGGTTGTTTCTTGAGGTAATGATGACAATAGTTGGGTTGAAGCATCATTGTCAACATTTCCTATTGGTGTGGGTTTGTCCTTAGATGATGTGTCTGTCGGGGATTTACCTTTCTTTCCCTTTATAGCCGTCTTCTAATAGGCACTTCCTGACATCTGAGGTGTGTTCAGAGTCCACATTTGCAAATGGACCACAAATGTGATTAATAAACATTGTAATCTTTCATAACTCAGAGATTTAAAAGCAGTTTTGCATACTTGAAGTTTAAAATTTAAGCTTCAAGAAGAAAAAAACTCATTAATTAGCCAATTTCTAAACGATTAGTTATTGTTTTTCTATCAAGTTGCAATATTTTACACAACAGTTGAAGTTTCTAAATTAAAATGAATATTCATATTAACTGGTTCAATAAGTACATATGTAATTTTTAACAAACTAAACTAAAGCAATTCTGAAATAATAGAAGGTTTTGGCTTCTAGGAAAACCTAAACATTTTCACTAAACCTGCAGTTAGAGAACCAATTCAACTTTTCTAGATTTAACAAAAGAGCCTTTTTTGTTTTGAAACATTGTCATTTAGTTTTATACTGAGAAATATTGAGAGATTTTCTGTCTTGCTTCCGGATTTAAAGACGTTGTTTGTAAGAAAGAAAGAGCTTTAACTGGCATGCCGTCACTTATGAAAATTTAACACTTATGGGTTAAAAAGGTGAGAAGTATTTACTTTCTGTTTGCATCACTCCAATAAGCACCTTCCTATTTGTCAGATCAACCTGTTTCCAACTTCATGTCTCACCAATTTGCTCCTTGTTGTTTTCTCTCTGTTTACATCTTCATGTTTCACAGATTGTTGCATCATCTTTATGATTCATGCTTCATAAGTCTAGTCTTCCTAGATGATGTCCAACAGCTTAATATTAGCTATAAGCCCAGATAATTAATGCTTTTTAAAGCAATGAAATGAGAAGTTTTATATGCCATCATCGCATGAGCAAAATGACACAAACAGAGGAATTTATTTTACAGTAATTTTAAGTAAGGCACTTTCTCAATTCATTAGAACACGAGAACAGACTCATGTCCTCGACAAGTATGTTCTTGAGAAGAACAGAGGAAAGTGTGGACTCTGGGAGAACAGTAGCACCCAGCATAAATCTGGGTCAATTGGAACAGAAACGTACTGATGACATTATCACATGCTCGCCTCGTCTGGAGCAGCATTTCACCTCCTGTTATTAATAGTCTCTAGATATTAATAAATTATAACTTTTTTCATTTAGAGTGGGAATAATGATGAACATAGTCAGATAAAAACAAATCAAATATTTTGCTAAATATAAAACCAAAAATTGCCATCAGAGCCAGCGGTCCTTTACACACGGCTACTAGGGCTGCTGCAGACAAGCTAACGTTAGCACTAGCTGCTGCAGATGGGCTAACGTTAGCCCTGGCTGCTGCAGACAGGCTAACGTTAGCCCTGGCTGCTGCAGACGGGCTAACGTTAGCATTGGCTGCGGTTAGTGTCGGAGGTCCGCTGGTTGCTGCAGAACGTTTTTTTATTCACGCACTAAATCAGTGAATGGGCCAAATAGTGACGCTTAAAGTATAATGTTCCCGCCTCAAATGATCTTAATACTCTGAGCTCTGTGAGCGCTCCATTGGAAGCTGCTGCTGCCGCAGTGCATGCTGGGACAGCTGTAAATCTCGAGAACGGACAAGTCTGCTCTGATGCATGCTGGATAAAGAAGGAGGGGCGAGAACAACCTCAGGGGATTTTGTCCGTTCTTTTTCTGCTGTTCTTTAGAATAGGAACAGTAAGGCAGAGGCTGATGAGCATTGAGAACGCCCAAGTACACCAATTTAGAAACGGCCCACATTTACAAATGATTGGAACAAATGCGACTCCAAATCAATGGACCTCATGCTACAACTTTTAGTATTCTTGTCCTAAATTTCTCTTCTCTTATACCAATGCATCACATCTGTAAACCTGATGATGTCCTTCTGTGTGGAACTGAGGCGCAGTTCTGAGAATCATCTGTGAAAGTACCGACCAAATGATGCCATATAAGGCTCAACTTCCCAGACTGCCAGACAGTTTTCATTCTTAGAAATGGCATCAAAAATGAAGAAGACAAACTTTACTGATTCAAAGACGTAGGATGTGCTGACTGAGAGCTGAGCAGCAGAATTAAAGGAGCAGACAGGGGAATAAATCATATTCTGTCATCAGCCAATAAGATGACATTTAGAATTGGAGAGATACAGAATATAGAATGATGCAACCTGATAAAAGTAACAACAAATGAGGTCATTTAGTAAAAAGCTGACTGATGCAACTACACTCTTATGTAAATTTTCAGCTGCAGAGCAAGCCCCTGCGTCCAATGCCAGCATCACCACCCCCACAACAAAACAGATATAGTTCATAGCTTTGAAATGTACCCCCTTAATGCACTGCATTGTGTTGATGACTTTTCTATACTGAATCCTTTCTGTTTCAACATGTTCAGTTGCTGAGGGTACTCCATACATGTTTACCTTCTCTGGATGTTAGTTTGGGTTAAACAGCAGCCTGTCCGCTGTGGTTGTTGTTCGTAACAATGCTAAATAAAGGGTTTGTGGATGCTGTGCTGTTCAGGAGAAACCATGAAAATCTACCATGAACCTGTAGGCAGGACTCAGCGGGACTTTGGTGCCAGTTCATTAACTTTGGATTTTTTTCTCTCTCTGCACCTGGGAAACCATATGTAGAAAACACTTCATCCTAATTCCAGGTTTCCATGCAGGTGAACTTTTTTCTGCTCATTGAGTGTAACTGAAGAAAGGCCAAGGCTGGTCTGTTTTTAAGAGCCCTTTGGATACAATGACTTCACAGTGACGTAGAGTCAGGAAGGCCCGCATTGCTCCTTCCAGGGATTTTCTGCAGCTCAAAAGGTTTCTTTGTCCTGCTTTCCCAAAACAGCCTGATTGTTGCTGGTCAAATTCCCTTTAGAACCAACAGTATTATTTTTGCTCAAAACAGTATTCTGATTATTTTCTTTAATGCAATGTGTTTATGTGTGCTTAAAGGTCATATACATGTAGCTTAATATGAAAGTTTTGTCATTTTACAAAGTTACTCATATGGGTGTTTTTCAATCATCGGGACTGGAAATAAAATGCCTCTGGGTTTTTGGAAAATTCCCCAGATTTGATTGATTTTTCTTTTAAATATAAAACCTATTACCATATTTTTTTTCTTCTTTGGATCTTAAGACAAAGATACTGGGTTGAATATGTAAATTGGCTCTGCTGACGTGTGTTACTTCCCACTGTCGGTGTCGGGTTTTTTTGCCCTTAGGACTTCCTTTACTGCAGGAAATGGTTTTCCTACGTTTCAAAAAAGTCCTACCTCCAAAATTTGGCAGGAAGTTATGAAAAATAACAAAAGATTTGAAATCAGATTTGAAGTCAAGATTGATGCTTATAATCTTTTGCTTTTGTTGCAGACAGAAGCAATCCTGAGCCTGTTGAGGACACAGACACCACCAGCTTTATGGCGGAAATTGTAAGGAGCCTTTTCTTAACCACTGCTGTGACTTGCTTCATGTCCAGTTTGTTTTGCGATGAAGTTGTGTTGTTCTTGATTAGAGAGCTTAGCAAAGTCTCGCATTAATCCGCTGAGAAATGTAGCAGAACCGAACACGGCGTGCTGTGATTCCAGCGCCAAAGGACTCCTCTCAGAGCAAGTCAGAGCAGGCGCCTCTCCTGTCTTTCAGCAGAGTGGTTTTGCCTCGACAGTGCCAAATAACTGTTAGTTTTGTTTATATATAATGTTGTCATGTTTGTCCTTGTCTTCCCTACAGTCCCTGGAGGCCAATTATCCCGTCCAAGTCACAGATCCTCATGGTAAATAAAAGAAAGTTACTAATAAGATGCTTTGCAAAACTCATGTGAGGTCTGTTTGATTCAGTAATTTTACATGCTGAGAAACGTTGCATAAGTAGACCCTGCATTGTAAAGAGTAGTCATTAGTAGATAAACGAGTTGCTAAATTGTTAGAAATGAAGTCAGTTGTTCACATCACATCATGAAAAGGGGAAGAGATTTATGATTTATCTGTTTTTAGAACATTTATCTTTAAGACGTTCTTTCGAACAAAATGGTAGAATTAGAAAAGAAGCTAAAGACTCCTGTTCCTACGTACTGTCCTGCCTTGAAGGTAACTTTCACCACCGGCTGTCAGCCTCTTGTGGACACATTTAGAGCATTAGTGGGGACTTAGTGAGTTACTTTCAGTAGCCAGATTAATTTCTGTTTGCAGAATAACCTGGATTGTCCCACAGGGATTGTGAAGCCAACTGCTTCTCAAAGGCTCCTCCATCTTTATTTTTCCTCCTAAAACAAACTAAACTCACTTTTTTTTCACCTTTATTTGCAAAAACATGATTAGTTTTTAAAGCAAAACATAAATTTTTATGGAGAGAAACTTATGCTGTTATTTTTAAAAGCAATTAATGGTTTTCAAAACAGGAAATTTAAAAAATGGAACTTTAAAAAGGTGGATGTTGGTTGTTGTAAAACTACGAGCTAACAGCCTGGAGCCACCGAGACCAGGGATACGCCAGTGTAGTGGTTCTCCAAAAGTGCCTGAGCAGCCAGGCGATTGGGTAACGGTACTCAGAAAGCGTGGTCGAGAATCTCTGCCCACCATTTTTCTAACCAATTTTCCCCACTCAGTGACACACCCACTGAGAAGCCCACTCTGGTGATTGGCAGCTCCATAGTCAGAAACGTGGCATTAGAGACACCAGGGATCATAGTCAAATGTTTGCCGGGGGCCAGAACAGGCGACATCAAATCCTACCTGAAACTACTGGCTAAGGATAAGGTTAAATACAGTAAGATTGTTATTCACGCTGGCGATAATGACACCTGGTTACGCCAATCGGAGGTCACTAAAATTAGTGTTGCTTCGGTGTGTAAGTTTGCCAAAAAAATGTCGGACTCCGTAATTTTCTCTGGTCCCCTCCCTGATCTGACCAGTGATGACATGTTTAGCCGCATGTCGTCATTCAACCACTGGTTGTCTCGGTGGTGTCCTGAAAACAACGTGGGCTACATTAATAATTGGCAATCCTTTTGGGGAAAGCCTGGTCTGATTCGGAGAGACGGCATCCATCCCACTTTGGATGGTGCAGCTCTTCTTTCTAGGAATCTGGCCACATTTATTAGTCCTCCAAAACCCTGACCACCCAGGGTGCAGACCAGGAAGCAGAGTTGTAGTTTAACACACATCTCTGCAGCTTCTCCACTGTTACCCACTCTTTACTCCATCCAGACAGTGTCTTGCCCACGACCAAAATCTAATAAATTAGCAAATATTCCCAAAGGAGTAAATCATGATAATCTAATTAAAATTAAAGTAACTCCAATTGGGGAAAAAGTTAAAAGGATTAAATCTGGTCTGTTTAACATAAGATCTATTTCCCTTAAAAGTCTGCTAGTTAATGACTTGATTTGTGATAATCACATTGACTTATGTTGCCTTACAGCAACAGGATTGTGAGCGTAAATGAGGCAACACGTTGTAGTTATTTAAATTTTCACATACCCAGAGATTCTGGGTGAGGAGGAGGAGTAGCAACAGTCTTTCAGTCTGACTTACTGATTACTCCAAAGGCAATTAATAATTACAACTCTTTTGAACACTTAACGCTTAGTTTCCCTGATCCAAATTGCAAAGCCAGAAAACCTCTTCTTTTTGTAACTTTGTATCATCCACCAGGTCCTTACTCTGATTTTTTTAGATCAGTCATCAGAGATCTGATTTGGTATTACATACTGACAGGGTCATCATAGTGGGAGATTTTAACATCCATGCTGACATTGAAGGCGATAGCTTAAGAGCAGCCTTTAATGCCATCTTACATGCTATTGGCTTTGTTCAAAATGTGAATAGTCCCACACATTCTCATCTTCATACTTTGGATCTTGTGCTGACATACGGCATAGCAGTGGCGGCCGGCCCATAGGGGGCGCTGGGGCACCGCCCTCCCTGATAAGAAGAGAGAAACGTAAAATATATTTTTAGAAATTAACTCATAAATGTCAGTTTTACTCTCTAGACTGTGTACCTATAAGCAAAACAAATTATATAAACTACATTTCCCTATCTACTGTCATTAATTTGTGGATTTCCACAGACAGACTCCTACCGTCTCTGTTCTGGGGGCTGTGATCAGACAGCCCCACATTTGCAGAGAATCTGTCAATCATGTACTATTGCTAGGTGAATTTAATGGCCAATCAGCGTCTCGGAACTTTATGGTCTTGGGGCTCTGAAAATACTGCGCTTTAACAGGCTTCTGAACCCAAGCGCAGGTGCAGACAGTTAGAGGGAAGATGGCGAACGTAACGAACGAGATGCAGCTTCCACCAAATTCGGTGAGATCCTTATTTATCTACCCGTTTGCCAGAAGAACATCCCTGTTGTAGGGTAGGAAAATTTCATGTCATGGTTATTGTGACTGTGACGAATCCACCTCGTCGCTTAAAACAACCTCTCTAACTTTGCGCGCCACACACACATTCCTGTTATACTGTGTTTGTGAGGACCAATACACTCGCGCTGAGCCCAGTAGCTCCATGAACTTAAAACACACAAGCTGTTCCTGGTTACCTGCTGGCATATTGAGGGTGCACACTTAATATTTCAGTGGGGTTAGCCGTGTGTGTGTGTGTGTGTGTGTGTGTGTACGTGTTTATGCTACGGGGACTTGTCATCTTCAGTCTGGCTCCGTCTTTGCTGGGTTCAAACCCAGTTTGGTGTAATTGAATAAGTCAATGAATCTGTGTAAAAGAATTAAGTTGTAAAAATTATTTGTTTTTGTACATCAATTGTTTGTGGAGGTAATATATAGACAAAACTGATTTATGAGAAGAAATCAGAAATAAGAGAGCCTGTAGGGGCTTAAACTATTTAATGAGGGCTGTGGGAAGAAAAGCGGCAATTTTTGTTTTCTGTTTCTTTGTTACATTGCTGGTAACTGGAGGGAGGCTGAGGCCCAGAGGATCTTGTACATGTTTAGTTTCTTTTGCACCCTGTTTTGAGTTTTTGAGCTCAATAAATCACCAACAGCGGTAACCCGACTGAGCCTGGATTCTTGGAGGCCAAAGAACCCCGTCACAGTGACCCAAATCATTCCTGTTACTGTTATTATATAGTAAATTAAATCATTACTGTTAAATTGCATGTATTGTCCAAATGTTTATTTGAATTCTTATTCCGGATTAGTTGGAGACATACACTAGGCTATATCAGCCCCACCAAAAATATTTTTCACCAGCCGCCACTGCGGCATAGAATGTAAAGAAATAACAGTATTTCCTAACAACCCTGTCCTCTCTGACCACTTTTTAATATCCTTCAGGGTTACTTTATCAGAGTTCTCCTCCCCTAAAATAATTGAATTCAATTTGGAAAAAAACATAATTTGAAAGCATAGCAAACTGTAAAGGTTGAACTTTTACATACACCTAATAAATTACTCTCAAAACCTTCTTGGGTTTTTTTTGTTTTTTTTTACTCTCCTTTTTCAGATGTGTTCTTCGCTTTCAATAATTTTGCAGCAAATTTCTCTCCCTAAATTTCAATCACTGAAAAAACATAAATGTAGGACTGTGCACTCAGTTTTAGCTGTGAGGACACTTTAGTGTAAATTCCAACAATTTGCTTCATTTATCAACCTACAAGTTTGCCGTCTAGCTTTACAAAAACAAAAGAAGCAAAGCTTTGGCATCAGGGAAAAAGGCTTTAATTAGAAATAAGCTATTTAAAAACTATCAGTCCGAACTGCTAGATTTAACAGCCAACCTGTTAGATCAGAAATTACAGTTTGGAAAAAGAAAGTAAAACTGGCTATGACATCATATACTGAAGGGACTTTGTTGGAGTCTGATCTGATAGTCAGTTTAATAGTCTAGATAATAATAGTTAGAAGGATTTTAGTATCTATATAACGAACAAAGTTGTTTTCTGCTGTTATAACTGAGGAAGTGTCACTGTTATGGGGAAACAGTTTTAAGCCTGTGTAATGTTTGTCTGGCAGACGCTGTGACACTGCACCTCAGCTCCATGCCCTCCGGATACCTGCAGCGCTCCTCGCAGGACAAGATCAGACAGGTCAGTGTTGCCCCTAGAAACAAGGGGTTTGATTCTAGGAATCTAAGATCGCTGTCCCTGAAAACTATCTTTAAAATCTCCCTTTTATATGAGCCTTTATGACTAAAATCAGAATCAGAAATACTTTAATGAGAGGGAAATTATCTTTGTTACACGCTCTAGGTACAGAAACAACATATTGCACACATTCATCATCTAAAGAAATAAAATACAACACAAAGAAATACAATAAAACTTTCAACACTGAAAATAAAAATATAAATATATACATATGTAACCATATATATAAATTTATATATATATATATATATTTACAGATATATAAAAAAGAAAAGTAATAATAGCAATGTGCAAAAGAGAGCAAAAGAATGAATAAATGTCAAAATTTTCAATAATTCTGTAATCTGAGTCCGAATTACAGAGGGGGGGTGTATGACTTTCTGAGGGAGGCGTTGTAGAGATTAATGACCACAGGCAGGAATGATTTCCTGTGGCGCTCTGTGGTGAATCTGGGTAAGAGGAGTCTTCTGCGGATGGAGCTCCTCTTCTGGGCCAGTGTGTCATGGAGAGGGTGTGAGACATTGTCCAAGATGGCCGGAAGCCTGGACAGCATCCCCCTCTCTGCCATGGTCGTCACCGTGTCCAGCTCCTCCCCGCAACATCACCAGCCCTCTTGATCAGCGACCCTCAGCCCACTGCCCCAGCATATGACAGCAAAGAACATCATGCTGGCCACAACAGACTCATAAAACATCCTCAGCATCGTCCGACAGATGTTAAGACCTCAGCCTCCTCAGGAAAAAAAGGAGTCTGCTTTGGCCGTTTTTGTAGACCGCCTCAGTGTTTCTAAACCAGTCCAACTTATTGTTAAAGTACACTCCCAGGTACTTATACTCCTCCACTGTTTATACAGGGATGGAAACGGGTCACAGCTTCTGAAGGTGACAGGACTTAATACAATAGCTGAAGTCTGAGGTAAAGAGGGTGAAGAGGAAGGGGGAGAGGAGAGTCCCCTGAGGGGCCCCAGTGTTGCTCACCACCCCTCAGACACCCACTTCTGTAGGCGTACATACTGTGGTATGCATGAAACACGGTTTAATGATCAGACTGACGCCCCAGTAGTTCATCTATCAGCCTGTAGTCTACACAGCAAATCCAAGATGCTCAAATCAACACTGTCAGATTTGATTTTAACACCCTTCAAGTGTCTATATGGGTCCACACCAGGGAGTGTTAATTTGACTCTTTTTGGAGATTTGGCACTCTTTAGTGTTAAATAATAAATATTTCTGGAGTTGATAATTTAACACTTAATTACACCAACTAGGTGTTAGAATTGGAATATTAACACTCTCACAGAATGTTTTCCTAACTACATAGGAGTTATTCTCTAAATACTGAAAATTTTACTTTTCTGAACATCTAAAAATCCCTTTGGAAAAATAAATAAAGAAGCAATCTTTGTTTTTTCGGCAAATATTTATTTCAAAAGTGTATCACAATTGGAAAATATTTTGTAACAATGTTACATTAAAAATTACAATTACTATTACAATATTACAATACAATATACAATTACTTTTAAAGAAAGATGAAATTGTCCAGAGAGCTGTTCCAAACAACATTTCTTTTTGTTTTACACTTGTGTAAACAACATGACAAATAAAATCTGTCTAAGTCTAACAATGTGGAACCTTTGCCAAAACTCAATTTTAACTATTAACATGTGACACCTCAGAGTTATATTTGTATACTATAACTCCATTAAGAGCTAAATTAACACCGTCTTTGAACAAAGTCTACTTACACCATATTATTTAACACTTTTCAATTAATTTACTTCAGGACAGAAGTTCACATGCTGTTCCTCAGGATGTGACGTCAAGCATACATGTTGAATGGGTCTGATCTATTAAACAGTTGAAGCCTTTTATTCCAGATGGATTTTCTGGATATTCAGAAACGACCTGCATCCAGCTCAATCAGACACCGATGGCAATTCCAACCAAGGTGAAACATGTACGAGCCTGAGGCCTACGAGGATGAGCAGAAGAGCTGCAGTTCCGGGTTTTGGCCACAGGAGGCAGTGTCATTAGATAACTCTGTCATGCCTTTTTAACTAAAGGGATTTACATAATAAACACCAAAATAAGTCTTTTACATGAAATATGAGCTAATGAACATCAGTGTTATTTCAAATGTTGAGCAGACTATACAGGGATAAACTGCTATTTACATTTAAAAGTTTCCCCCCCCCGATGAACACACACTACGTCTTCCTTCTCAGGCCTGAAAGCGATGCTCAGGGTTTAATTACCCTTTCATCTGAGCTGTGGGCAAACAGGTTGTGGTTTTGTTTCACGGTGCAGCTGTGAGCTCCTCTAATAACAGAGCAGAAGGCGTAGGATAGAGGGACGGCTTCCATCAATCTGTGGTATGCAGCTTTCTCAGAGGGAGCTTTGATGGAATAAGAACCCTTTCCCCAAAGTCTGATTGTTCATACATGTGTATTGAGGATTTATCCCCATGTCCCTGAGGACATGAAAACAAGGCCTTGATGTGCTTTAGGGGCATTGCTTTTTTGTTTAAACATGTTTGGCTGTAGGAGCCATCAAAAAGCTGCTAATTGAGGATAGATTTACTGCAAACAGATGCTGGATGCAAGGAATTTTCAGATTGAAATCAATCTGTCGTTTAGATGGAAACACACCAACAGTAGGAAACGCAACAGACCTGATTCACAAATATTCCAAATGGAGAGAATAGATTATGTGTAGAGAAGAAAAAGTGCAATAAGTGGGCATGTTGTGTCTGGCACAGTCCAGTTCAGCTATCAACAGTCATCTTGGTAACCTTGCTCGGACTGATCTCGGCACGGTTTTAAAAGGCTGGTGGAAATGGGGCTTATGTCTGGTAGTTACCAGGGCCTCAGGTAGGGGCATTTGTTTGTAAATCTGCAGCATTCCTTGGCCAGATAATCTTCTCTCGAGTTCCAACAGTTGTCTTATTTCTTTCCATGTTGCCTAGAATTTCTCCACATTGTCCACAATGGACGCTCCGTTACCTTGTTCAAGCATCTCATTCAGGAGATCATCTGGTAGAAGCTTACTTAACTTTGTTTTCAGTTATACCATGCTTTTATTTCTCAGGTCAGTGGTTTTTCCCACTATTAGGGCTTGGTTCCCAGTTTCAGGGGAGGTGATGGTGGCACTCCCATCTGGCCTTGTATCTTGGTTCCCCATTAGCATAGCTTGCATGTGTTGGAGCTGCTGGTACTCTAATCTCAGAGCAGTTGCTTTTTGTGAATGTTGGATCACTGAGCTGCTAGGTGCAAAGCAGTTAGCTTAGTTCTGACATTAGATATCAAAGCATCCATTCTTCCCACAGTCTTCTCAAATAGCCCCACTAGTCAGGGTAACTGGAGTAGCAGGATTCAAATAGTTTCTTCTGTTCCTGTGTTTTCTTCGTGTTCCAATAACCACCTGTCACCATAGGGCACTGGTCCCTTGACACCTGACCTTGTTTGACCGTGCTCTGCAGAGCTGGTATGGTTGTATGTTTATTCGTTCTTGTATTGTGAGGTAGCCACATATTCTTAATGGTCTCACCCAAGGATAGGAAATAGATTTTCTTACTTTTTAATGGAACAGTAGGTAGGAGCTACCATGGCCGCGGAAAGTGGGAATGTTGCAGCACCCTCTAGTGGTGACAGGGAGATTTTAAAAAAATGTATTAAAAATACTTTGCATAATTTATAACTTTGTGCGGAGTATTTTTTGTTTTTATTTTGCTATCACGTGGATTTAATTAAATTATTTTGAGGCTTAACTAACACAAGTTCACGGAAGATACATTGTCATGGCAACGTCAAGCAAGCTAGTGGCCTCCGAGTAAAGAGGTATCCCACTCATGGCAGCAGACTAGTAAATTTACATAATCGAATGACAGAAATGAGGAGAAAATAAGGCACAGAAACGCATTTTGGATTTTTTTTTTAAAAACCACCACTAGTGACATGATGGTACCGCAACCATGACAACGGAGAGCAGCCGGAGTCAGGAGACTGTCCACCCGCCTCTGATGGCAGTTGCAGTGGTAGGCCCAGCCCCAGCACCCGCAACCCAATCTAGCATGTAATAGGGGTGGAACGGTTCGCAAAATCCACGGTTCGGTTCGATTCACGGTTACGTGGTCACGGCTATCGGTTCGGTTCGATTCGGTATATGTTGATTGTTACACCGAAATCCCATAAAAATGTATGAAATTAATGAAAAAATCCCCCCAAAATTAATGAATTGTAATTATTTTTAATGATCCGTGGAAACCCTGGATCATTTCCGTATGTTTTGCTGCTTTGAATTTAATCATCTGGCGCATGCTCTCTACCATCTCCAAGGGACTCAGAGCGGAGCGGACGGGAGCCACAGTGGAGGCTGTAGGCTTTGCTTTGAGCAGCCGGTCTGAAGCGCAACGGGGCGGAGCGCTGACGGAGTATGAGGGATTTCGGGGTTAGCATGACATGTTGGTCATGTTGCTGTTAGCATAAACAAAACGTGTTGCACAATGTTTGCACACTGTTGCACTTTTATCCACAAATTTCTTTCCGCCGTCATCGTAGGTCACTCTAAATGCAAAGCGCTCCCATACAGCAGACCTATAAAGTGCTGCTGGCGCGTCTTCCAACTCCTGTTCTTTCCCACTCGCCATACCCACACAATTCTCCACAACAACTGATTTTTTTCTGCTACACCCGGCTACGCTGCTTCGCTTCTTCTTCTTCTTGTTTACTACTGGTGGTTGGCTTTGGTCGCAGTACCGCCACCTTCTGCTCTGGAGTGTAAACGCTTCGCCTATGAGAAAAAGGAGCAGCGCATGAACCGAACGCAACACACACGAACCGAACCGAAACAGTCGAACCGAACGATTCGGACGGTTTTCATAAATCGTCCCATCCCTAGCATGTAACCAGGCCACCCTGCATGTAGCTCAAAGTAAGAGCACGGTCCCGCCGAGCACTTTCATGTCTATTCCAAGAAAGTTAAAAAACAATCCACTGGATTTGGTTTCCAAGTTTGAAGAAATTTCGCTTCCCATCCAGGAAGCTTTTTCAATTAGAAGTGTTAGATTTTAATCTAATATCTAATTTTAACGTAACTATAGTATTTAATAGTGTTATTTTGATCCTGTGTTCTTTGTGTAATGGAGAACTGTTCAATAATGTTTAAATAATAGCCTATAACAATATGATTATTTCCTTGTGGTTTGCCTGAAAGGATTTTGGAGCCAATAGAGTCACGTGTGACATTAACACAGAGACTGAGGTTCATGCCAGCTGACCAAATCTACCATGTTATAGTGTTATTGTGAAGTTTACTTAATAGCGCATATATTTACCTGAGAACTGATGATGTCTGTGTGTTACAGACCCTGTTTGTGTGCACTGAAGTCTATATGACAATAAAGCAATGAATCTGAATCTATTTATCTATCCATCCATCCATTTTCCGTCATGCTTATCCCAAGCGGAGTCTTGAGAGGTGCTGGCGTCTCCCATCTGGCATCTGTTGCCAGTTCGTTGAGGGCAACACGATCTATTTAGTTATTTTTATTGTAATTTAGATAGGCCTATAGGCTCACAATTGCTTTAACTTAGATTAAAAATTAATTTGGTCATAGTGTAATCCATTTATCATTTGTTTTTATCTTCATTATTGAAGCTTTTTTCTAATAAATGTATTCTGTGATTGCAGCCAGTCGAAGATCTGGAAGACTGCTCTTGCCCTTCATCTACTTCACCAGGTACAATTTATTTTATTTCAACAGTATATGGATTGATTCTGCAGTCATGGGAGAATTTTTCATTGGGGCCTTTCAGACTGATGGTGCTTCATGTAGTGTACAGGGGGTAACGAGGGGCGATCAGCCTCTCAGGGACACCTCGCAATCAGGAATCATACGATCAGGAGAAAATCAAGCATGTTTGAAATTCAGTCAGCTGTGGTAAGGTGGCTCTGGGCAAATTACACAGTGCGCAAACAAGGTTTCTACTTCTTCCTCTCAGAAGAAAACACAGAAGCATGGCGTGGGGTGCGAGTGAAATTGAGTTCTTTCTGTAAAATTGACAGACCGTAGTAGCCACGTTTGCTCAGTCTTGTCTTGTCTTTGTCCAAATATGTTGTTACCTTTTCTCTTTAGGGCTTTCAGCATAAAATTGCATAAATAGCCAAGGCAGCGCGTTTCACTCTAGTGCAGAGGTCTTCAACAGGGGGTCCGCAACCCCTAGGGGGTCCGCGGAGGTACTGCATGGGGGTCGCGAAAGTCTTGGTTGATAACTTTTTTTTATATTCCCTCCTGCAATTTTTTGCACTAATTAAAATTTCTTTAAATCCACATTAACATGAATTCAACTCACTGTAGTAAACAGATAAATGGAGGCAGAAGATGTCTTTCAGTCATCAATGCTCACATTCAGAGACACACAGGAGCTCTTTCAAGCTGGGCACCGTTTCATTCACAACACCTGTCCCATCAACCAGGAATCAGAATCAGAAATACTTTAGTAATCCCAGGGAGAAATTACATTAGTTACATTACTCCATATGTAATAGAGTGACTATAGGACCAGTTTGATATAACACTATTTCATACAATATATATAATTAGGGGGTCCCCGCTCCATCTGGCCATCAGTTTGGGGGTCCTTGGCCTGAAAAACGTTGAAGACCCCTGCTCTAGTGAGCTTCATGTTCCTCTTCTACTGGTTTGGCTTCTGGATAAACTAGTCTGAGTAGCGCCATCTCACTGAGGAGCTGAGTCCCACCTGGTTTTTAGGCGTACAGTGTGAGCAGGTAGATCGCATCAGAGCGTCGGGTCGCACAGTGTGAGAACAAACATCATGAGCTGGGAACTTTTCAACCCTGAGGTTTCGTCGTACAGTTTGAGCTGTAGCTGCGTGCAACGATTAAAAAGATTGCGTACGCCCGGCTTAATCTCTTGGAACAGCTGACAATGATTCCTGTGCAAGTCTCCAAGAATTGGTTTCATTTTAAAAGCCTCTCTTATTTTCAGTGACTAAATTTAAAATTACAGTGTAATTAATCATGCACTCCAAAAAATTTTTTATCTAAATAAGTGCATTTTTCTTGAATTGAGGAGGTAAGTGAGACAATGCCAACTGTTGAACTATTGCAATATCTTATATCAAGAGCATATTATCTAATTATCTTATTTTAAGTGTAAAAATACTCATTTCATTGGCAGATCATCTTATTTACCTACTCAAATTAAGGATAAATACAATTAATTTGAGAACTTTTTCCCCATTTCTAGATCGTTTTTGCAGTGTGCATCTCATTGTTTCTCTCTGGATGTTTCCGTAAGCCAGTGTTTTTTAGGAGATCTAGCTATAAATCTGTAAATTTTTGCATTGATGGATATGTGAACAGGCTGTTAGATGCAGACTGCCATGTGTCTGAAATGAGCTCCTCCTTTTGTCTCTTGTACACTCAGACTGCCCCAAACAGCTGCAGCTCCTCCGCAGTCCTTGTGAAAAGTGCTGCTGCCCAGCACCTCCACCAAAGATCAGTGACCTCATGAACGACAAAGACCTGCTGGACTTACTGCGCTTGAAGCTGGACCCAAACCACTGCACGGTTAAAAACTGGAAGAACTTTGCGAGCCGTTGGGGAATGAGCTACGACGAACTCACCCTGCTGGAGCACCGGACCCAGGGCTCCTTGTCTCACAGCCCCACTCAAGAGTTCCTGCTGCGCTACAACCAGAAGACGGTGACCGAGCTCACCGAACTGTGCCGCATCTATCAGCGCATTGACGTGCTGCGGCTGCTTCAAAGCTGGATAGAGAAGGACTGGCCGTCACGCTGGCAGCAGACTCACTAATCAGATGGAAATGTGGATTTATCTGTTGGGTTTTTTCTGTTCATGTTCAAGATTTCTTTTACATTTCTGGATCCAAGCTTTTGTAGGTAGCTGTTTAGTAAACTTTTGAACAGAAAACCTTTTAAAGAAAGAAAGATATCGAGAAGAAACAGCAATTCTAAAACCTTGATCATCAAAGGTAAACAGATAACCTTAGAAATAACATGGAACTTAAATTTCCCTTTTGTTCTCTAGACATCTGCAGTGCTGTGATGTTTCACATCCAATGTAAAGATAAAAACAAACATGTGAAGCACATTCAAAGCATTGTACAGAAGCTCTATGCAATGGTGATATAAATAAGGACGGTAATGGATGAGCTGCTGACTTGTTCCATATCACTTGACTTACGACTGATTTCTCCTTTCTGTGAAACACGATTGTTGAAAATATTTTTTTTCTCATTTAAATACCAGACTTGTTTTGTTGTTGTCTGCATGTTCACCTCAAAGTAAGATGTTCCTACCTATGGAGAGAAATTTGTTCCAGGATTATTGAAAATGACAAAATGCATAACAAAAAAGATTTTTCAGACAGAATGAATCAAAAATGAAGCTTTGAAAAATGTTTAATCCAAAGTAAAATACTATGGAAGCATATTGCATTCACCAAAGAAAAAAAAATCAGACAGCTTATCTCATAATTATGAGATAAGCTGTAAGATTTTTTTTCTTTGAATGCAATACGCTTCCGTATAATACTCATGTTTATGCAGAAGTTGAACTAATATTTTTAACGTTTGCTAGTTTTTTCAGATTTACATTTTTTTTTTTTTTTTTTTAAAGAGAGTCCAAATTCTGTTTTTTCAGATGTCCCTCCTACACTCTTTGGTGGACCAATAGAAATCGGTCTGCTCAGCATGCACCATAGCAACAGTATTTCTATTGGTCCACCCACAGACCACCCAGATGGTGAAATATGTACTATTGGATTTGAAGTAAAAATGCATTTTTGAAAATTCAATTTTCCCCCCAAAAAATGAATAAAAACTTAAACAAACTTTGAAAAAATTAAAAGGAAATGAATATTTTTAAAAATAAAAATCTGTATTCACGTTGGTTGAACTTTGCTAACACACATTACTCTTGAAATCTTTTATTTTTTCAATTAAGTTTTTCAAACTCAATTTTTCAGTAATATTGTATTTCATTTCTCTCCATACTCGGACCCCTAAAAACACGTCACATTTAAGGGGAAAACATTGTAGGGGAAAACTGATTTCGATATTTTACCAATCACCAATTTTTAAAGTTTGATATTTTGATTTTATAAGATGCTGATTTTTTTTTTTTTTTAGTAACCAGTGTTAAGCATGAAAAATCAATAATTTTTACTAGTTTGAATTTTTTAGTTCTTCCTGATTCATTAACCTTTTTTTAATCGATGCCCGGAAAAGGGAGCTGCCTGGTGTTGGTGAAGCAGCTTCCACAGCAGTAGGTGGGCGTCCATATTTCATTCCTCCAACATTTCTAGATGTGTCTCAAAGTTAGAAACAGAGTTTCCAGTCGGGATTAGGTTATGCTAATGATGGTGCACAGCCGACATGATTGAACGACACCTCACTCTTCCTTGCCCTGCTACCCCGGGGTGGTAAGGTAGGTTCCTCTGGTCCTCAACCTTCAGCAGACAGAGGAGCCGTTTAGACTTTCTTCCTCTACGTTTAGATCCTAATAGATGCTCGCCTTGTTTCACCTGGATGGAATGAAAACTTTGAGCTTATTCCAAAAAAGTAAAGAAAAAACAATCCACTGGACTTTGTTTCCAAGTTTGAAGACGTTTCGCTTCCCATTTCGTTTGGCTTCTTTGTTAGCCTGCAATGCTCCATACCTGTCTATGCCTCTGAAAGTGAGTTAAAGGGAATTGTTGATGATAGCAGGAAGGAATCAACTCAATTGCTGCATTGTAGGTTTTTGAAAGCTGAAACCTGAGTCCACCTCCTCTGTTTAAGGTTGTTTTTTCTTTAACATAAAAGGCTTCCTTCACACCCCTTTCAAACCGCCTATTTTCTTTGTCCAAAATGTGAACATTCTGGTCCTGAAAAGAATGTCCATTAGGTGTAGATGTAGAGTCTAATCCTGAGGAGGTCGCTCTCCTGTGTTGAGCCATGCGGTGATGTAACCCACTAACTGAACGACGGAAGATGAAATCTGATCGCTTCATCATTCCTTCCAAATTTGGTCCGCAGCTTTTCCCTCCAGCTCAGACACTTAGCTTAGAACCGCCACGCTGTCAGAATCAGGGAATTAAAATCATAAAATTGTCTTATACAACTTTAGTTCTTGAAACGGCAGACACTGGATATTTGTAAATGTGTTTAAAATATGTTTTCAATAGGAAAGTTCCATGTAAAACCTTATAAGGTGCTGTTTGCAAAGTTAAGCAGTCAAAAATTAAGAGCAATATTGATGCTTATTTAGCGTGATTTAAGAGAACAATAAGAGGGTTATTTTTTCACAATGTTATTTATTCATTTCTAAAAATCAAGATTTGAAACTAAATATTTTCCATACTAAATACTTAGTTTGTTAAATATTTAGCTAGAAGCTAAAAAATATAGAATTTGCTAATTAAATATTTAGCTCTGGAATATTAAAAAAAATTTTTAAATATGTAGCTAGCACCAAGATAGCTACATATTTAGCTAGCTTGGTGCTAGCTAAATATTTAGTTTGAAAATTAAATATTTAGCTAGAAGCTAAAAAATATTTAATTTGCAAATTAAATATTTAGCTCTGGATTATTTAAAAAAAAATTAAATCTGTAGCTAGCACCAAGCTAGCTACATATTTAGCTAGCTTGGTGCTAGCTAAATATTTAGTTTGCTAATTAAATATTTGTTGAAAAAATATTTTGCTCCAAACTAAATATTTATTTAACCAACTAGGTATTCAGTATGGAAAATAAATATTTAGCTTGCTGACAATATTATTAACTGACAATCTCAATATTTAGTTTGGAACTTTGATCTTTATAAATGAAAGAATGACATAGTGGAAAAATGAGCCCCTTATTTTAATCTTAAAATACCCAAATTAACCATAAATGTTTCTCTTAATCTTTGACTGCTTAACTTTACAAACTTTACTCACCATAAAAATGTAACTCTGTGTAAAGAAGATTCATAAGATTATATTAGACTTTATAGGTGTGATATTTTAAACTGGTTAAATATAAGTATGTGATAATTTATAATAATATAAACTTAGATTTTAAAGGATTTCAGTTTCATTGTAAATTTCAGACCATTTCATCCAGTCAGAACTCTGGTTAGCGGCTTATTTATATGTGAACTTTCATGATCCTTCATTTTAATAGAATTGGAACTGAGAACAAATAGGAAACACAATCAAAACTAGGAATCTGAACCGAATCGGAAAGGATTCCCAAAACTATTTATAATTGGCATTGTTATAAAGTTCCAACAAACCTTCAATGTCCTTTTCTCATTTTATTGAAAAAGTTAAACGGTACCAGTGAAACAATGCTAACTTGTTTTATTAGAATATGTGGTAGTGCTCCTTGAATTAAAATGTTTAGATTAGTGCGAGTTTGTCAGACATTTTTTTGAAGAGTTACAGGTTAAATAAAAATTATCTGGGAACTTGCTTCAGGGAAACTGACTTTTCCGTTTCATAAAGAGAGTTTCCTCAACAACTTAGCTGACATGATATGAGTTTGTGTTTGGTTTGTTTAATATGAGCAAAATGCAGATCATTTTATTTTTATTTAGTTATATTTACAGAACATGAAGAACTACTGAAAATATTTTCAGATTACACATAAAAATTCATTAATTCCAAGGGGGAAAAGGAATTACTTTAGGGTTAGGATTAGGATTTACTGGATGATAACCTAATGAGCCTACTGGCACAGTCGGAGGCCATCCTATGGGCCTGATAGCTGCTAATAACAATCATTTATTGGGATTTCATCATTTACTTAGTATTTACTGTGTAAAAGAAGACTGAATCAACATGAGGAGGAACCCATGAGATGATGCACAGGTCTTATACAATAGAACGTTTTTATTCTTCATTTTCACCCACTGCCAGAAGATTTCACCTAAATAAATACATTGATCTACTGCTATTTAAGAAACAATCCCGTAATATCATGGTAACAACAGACTATGACAAGTCGTTTATATGTACTAGTTTTACTGAATATGTATTCCTGTTATCTGAATAAAAACATTTCTTCTGCGTCTAGATGACCATTTCAAACAAAATGACATTCTCCACATCCAGAATAAACATTCTGCAAATTCATTTCTGATCTCAGCATTTGTATTATTTTAACTATGAAAAAAAAAATGTTTTTGTTTTTAGTTTCTAAAATTCAGTTTCTGTTATAAAACTGTTATATATATTATTACAGTTTGGGCTAGGAGTGTGATTTTTAACATGCAGAATCTTATTTTAGTGCTCTACAAATGGAACAGAAGTGCTTTTAATAAATGTAAAAACATCCTGCCATAGCCCATTTCATAGAGTTTTACATATTAACAACAATCTTCTCCTTCGCCATCTTTCTCTCCTTTGTAGCTCTAGGGCTGTTTCTCCGTCTTTTACACATTCTCCTTTTTTAGCTTTTTGCATTTCTGCATTAAAATCTCTTTTTCCAGTGGGGTGAAATCACTGATCTGTATTTATTCACTGTATTGCTGATTGCCCGTTAATAGTATGGGGTTAAAGTGAAGCCACCGGCTGCCATATTGGTACTCCATAGTTAGACTGGTCGCAACAAACAATATATGCGCTACAGCAGTGAACAACAGTGATGTTCTCATTTTCATTGGGGCTTAAGACTTTTAAAATAAACATAAATTCATCACTTTGACACACACTGGCTGTTTCATAGAATCAGTAGATTACTTTAACATATAATAAAAAAATAGGCACATAACATTGCATAGTCATTATGAAGTCAATGAAGTCTACAAATCATGTAATATAGATTATAAAAATCTATCACAATAAAATGTGTTAATGGAGCATAATACAGGTGTGCCAAAAGTAGATGTACATGTAATATACATACCGTATATTGATGACATTGTTTTGTTACATATGATTTCAAAATTTTACATCAAAAATTAATTACATGTACCCGTCTCTTAATGCTATAGTATTTTCATATTCGTAAATTGCATATACTTTTATGCTTCGTCTGTGCATTAGCCTTTAAAAATGTTTGAGTTGATTTTGTCCCCCATCAATATAACATGCAATACATGTGAGCACATTACTTTTTCAAATGAGATATTCAAACACTACCAAACCAAAGCGTCATCCACTTAAAGAATCACATTGATATTTCACAGTGAATTCCTATTTACTCTACATTCTATTTTCTAACATTAGACACAATGTCAATGGCTAACTCCGTCAATGCCTTTTAATCGGTCCAAGATAGCCAGACTATAGGCTACATACTATTAAAATTACCTGTGAAACATCGTCCCACAGCCGGCAAACTGCTTGTTTTTACAGTCAAATGCTACACAGGTAGGCATTTTTTTTACCAGGCATCTCCGTTGGAGTTCCAACGTTTTTCAGGCAATCTGCAATCCAGTGAATAAATAGAGATCGGTGGGTGAAATAGGCAATTCCTGTTGCCATGGTGACTCCGCTTTTTATACTTGTTGAGCACATGTTTAACTCTGAGCAGATCTCGTTAAAATTGGCTGAACTAATCGGAAGCAGCCGTTGTGGAACCAAACACTCAGAGTTCCCGACTTTAGGTTAGATCCATTTAGTTGTGGATTTGAATCTGAATTTGTTCAACCTGCTTCGTGAAATGGCCCCCAGCTGGATAACATACTTGGAACACCAAGCCCTAGCCAGATTTTTGGGAATCCAGTAATACGAGCTTTAAAGAAAGTGTGCAGGACCACATTCCCCAACTCCAGCATCTTTTTGGTTTCTGCTTGTATCATTTTCTGACCAGACCAACAGATTTAAGAGGCCATAGCAAAAGAGGCAGAACAGCAGTGTATGTTAACAGTCATCCAAGTCATGTTACTGTGATGTTTAGTCCCTGGTTATATTTTTCCAACTGCGTTGTCACCCAAGCCCTTCAGGGGGCCAAACCAGGAGGCTACATGTAAAGCATTTGCTAGTGGCTAAAACTTTGTGTTTTAAGTTTTATTAACTCCCAAGTTTGAATTTTCAAAACTCCATAATTGCGATTGCTGTTGGTCTTGAAGTCCTTTAATAGAGTTTGTGTCTTCCGAATGATGCTTGTACTAAAATAAAAGACATTTGTTCCCCCCTTTAAAGCAACCCTGTCTGTCTTCGAGAACGGCACAAAAAAAAAAGCAAACACCATATTAATCTTGTAAATAGTTTTCAAATTTACTTTAGGTCCAGCCAGTCTCATTGTTTTGATCTAAAGCATTTGAATTTTCTGAAATCACACAGACTTAAGGACATTTCATTGATTTATTGAGCAACAATGGCAAATACATTCACAAACTTATTTAAAATGTTAAAACAGTAAAATAGTCTCTGAAGCTTACTGTGATCACATGCACTTTACCAAGTATATTTTCTGAATAAAAAGTATAGCAAAAAAAGCTTGTACAAATAAATACAAATTTAGCTTATATAATAAAAAAAGATTCTATTATCCGACTACAAACATATGTGGCATTGGTTTAGGATCTATTCACAACAGTTGAAGTTTGAAACCTAGTCTTTTAACAAAGAATCAGACAGCATCTGGATCATCAGTACTAAGACAAAGCATGTTGGAGAGACCCAAATCCAGCTTTTGATTTTCATCGGAATACTCTGGCTTTTCCGTTTTGAAAGCACTCCCTACTCCCAGAGAGGAATCTCCAGAGACATTGACGTCAAGACTTGGAGCAGCAAGTTTCAGATTAGCATTTTTCTCATCCGTAGGTGAGGCACTGGTTTTTTTTTCCTGCGCCAGTTTCAGTTTCTCGAAAAGGTCGATCTTGCCCACTGTTTTTGATGCGTTACTTATTGGCAGCTTCACCCCCTTGCTTATGATAAAGTCCTTTTCCCCACTATCCCGTTTGGATAAGCCAATTGGATTAAAAGTTTCACCAACTCCGTCTAGGCTTGCTTTTGGCAGACGGTGGAATTTGAACAAAGGAACATCCATCTCAACATTTGAAGCATCATTGTCAGAGTCATCACCATTTTCATCATCCTCTTCAGAATTGGCACCAGCATTGATCTCTCCAGATTTCGCTTTAGATTGTGTAAAGCTGAATTTTGGCATCCTAAAATGTGGGAACCTAGACTTCTCAACACCCACATCTACATCTGGAGCTTTAATTTCTACTTTGTTTCCTTCTACCTTTGGTCCATTCAGATCCACTGATGGAACAGAAAGGCTAGCATCAGCTGCAGGACTGCCTGTGTTTAACCTTGGGGCCTCAATTCCAGCCTTCCCGGTTGCATGGACCTCTGGAATTTCTGCATTAGGACTTGAAAGATCAAGTGCTGGAAATTTTAAATGAGGCAATTTAAAATCCCCAAGGTTTGAATCTAAATCTGGTGTTTTAAGCTGCCCATCAGGTGCTTTCAGGTCTACCTTTGGCAGGTTGATATCCAAATCTGGAGATTTCATGTTGACATCAGGGGCATCCAGTTCAGCTTTTGGTGCCTTGGCATTAATCTTAGGTGCTGATAGATCCACGTCTGGTGAATTCAAATCCACCTCTGGCCCTTTAATGTCAACATCTGGCACCTTGACATCAGTGTCAAAGTCAGCTTTTGGTACTTTTTTCTTCTTAAAATTGAAAAAATTGAGTTTGCCATGCGGGATATCTACGTCAGCATCAGGAACATCAATGTCTAACTTGGGATTTTGCAAGTCCGGAGTGTTTATGTTACCATCAATATTTGGAGCTGAGAGTTTTAGATCAGGGGCAGAAACATCAGCATTTAAGTCAACATCAGGGCAGTTTGCCTTGACCTTTGGCTTTTTAAAGTTGGGCCAGTTGATCTTTCCAGATGGAGAGTCAATGTCTATGTCTGGTTTCCCAACATTAACATCAGCTTTAGGTAAATTTACATCAAGATCTGGCGTGTCTACTTTACCATCAATCTTTGGAGCCGAGAGACTGAGGTCAGGGGCAGAAACATCAGCATCCAAGTCAACATCAGGGCCATTTACCTTGGGCTGAGAAATTGACCACTTCGGCATTTTCAACGTGGGCTTTTTAAACTTTCCAGATGGAGAGTCAATGTCTATGTCTGGTTTTCCAACATTAACATCAGCTTTAGGTAAATTTACATCAAGATCTGGCGTGTCTACTTTACCATCAATCTTTGGAGCCGAGAGACTGAGGTCAGGGGCAGAAACATCAGCATCCAAGTCAACATCAGGGCCATTTACCTTGGGCTGAGAAATTGACCACTTTGGCATTTTGAACGTGGGCATTTTAAACTTTCCAGATGGAGAGTCAATGTCTATGTCTGGTTTTCCAACATTAACATCAGCTTTAGGTAAATTTACATCAAGATCTGGCGTGTCTACTTTACCATCAATCTTTGGACCCGAGAGACTGAGGTCAGGGGCAGAAACATCAGCATCCAAGTCAACATCAGGGCCATTTACCTTGGGCTGAGAAATTGACCACTTTGGCATTTTGAATGTGGGCTTTTTAAACTTTCCAGATGGAGAGTCAATGTCTATGTCTGGTTTTCCAACATTAACATCAGCTTTAGGTAAATTTACATCAAGATCTGGCGTGTCTACTTTACCATCAATCTTTGGAGCCGAGAGACTGAGGTCAGGGGCAGAAACATCAGCATCCAAGTCAACATCAGGGCCATTTACCTTGGGCTGAGAAATTGACCACTTTGGCTTTTTGAACGTGGGCCACTTGATCTTTCCAGATGGAGAGTCAAGGTCTATGTCTGGTTTCCCAACATTGACATCAGCTTTAGGTAAATTTACATCAAGATCTGGCGAGTCAATTTTACCATCAATCTTTGGAGCTGAGAGATTGAGAGCAGGGGCAGAAACATCAGCATCCAAATCAACATCAGGACCATTTATCTTGGTCTTTGGCTTTTTAAAGGTAGGCCATTTGAACTTTCCAGATGGAGAGTCAATGTCTACCCCTGGTTTTCCAATATTAACATCAGCTTTAGGTAAATTTACATCAAGATCTGGCGAGTCAATTTTACCATCAATCTTTGGAGCTGAGAGATTGAGAGCAGGGGCAGAAACATCAGCATCCAAATCAACATCAGGACCATTTATCTTGGTCTTTGGCTTTTTAAAGGTGGGCCATTTGAACTTTCCAGATGGAGAGTCAATGTCTACCCCTGGTTTTCCAATATTAACATCAGCTTTAGGTAAATTTACATCAAGATCTGGTGAGTTAATCTCACCATTAAGCTTTGGAGCTGATAGATCAACATCTGGTGCATTCAAATTTGCATCCAGGTCGACTTTTGGTCCATGAAGCTTGGGTTTTTTCCATTTCAGATGTGGCCAGTTGATTTTTCCTGAGGGGGCATCAACATCATGTTGAGTTTGAATATTTAAATCAGGAGGTGTCAAGTCAGCTCTGGGGAGATTCACTTCAGTATTTGGAACATTTAAGTCCCCATCAATCTTTGGTCCTGTGAGATTTAAGTCTGGGGTGTTTAGATCTCCATCTATGCCCAAGTCTGCTTTCGGGCCATGAAGCTTGGGCTTTTTCCATTTCAGGTGAGGCCAGTTGATTTTACCAGATGGAGCATCAACATCTAAGGGTTGCATTTCAAGGTCTGGGCCATTGATATCTGCCTTTGGCAAGTTTACGTCAACTTTTGGGGCATCAAGCTCCCCCTTTACCTTTGGAACAGAAAGCCCAACCTCAGGCGTGTCAATGTTTGCATCTATATCCAGACTATCTTTGGAGCCATGAAGTTTGGGTTTCTTCCATTTTAAGTGGGGCCAGTTGATTTTACCAGAAGGAGCATCAATGTCAATGTCATGGGCTTTAACATCTAGTTCAGGACCCTTGATGTCAGCTTTAGGCAAGTTTAGATCAACATCTGGCCCACTTAAATCCCCATCAAGCCGTGGTGTGGAAACATTGACATTAGGTACTGATAGGTCAGCATCTGGCCCTTCAACTTTAGTACCTTTCCATTTAGCATGTGGCCACTTGAATTTGCCTGAGGGTGCATTAATGTCTGCATTTGGGGCTTCTAACTTTGCACTAGGGCCATTAAAATTTGCTTTTGGAACATTCAGATCCAAATCTGGATTTTGAAGAGCAAAGTTTGGAGCCGACAGATTAAGGTTTGGTGCGTTTACATTCCCACTAACAGATGGAAGATCAATGTCACCAGACATGTCCAGTTTGCCATTTGGTGGTTCAATTTTTGGTAGGTCGAAGCTTGGCATTGTAAACTTAGGGGGCTGATATTTGCCTGTCTGGATTTCTGGTTTATCAATTTTCAAGGAGGCATTTGGCATCTTGACTTGTGGAGCTGAGGCACTGACATTAGGAGCATTAAGAGAACCACCTAGATCTGCCTTTACATCGGTTCCCGGTAGTCCTATGGATGGCATTGTGACTGCAGCACCAGCATCACCTGATGGCTTATTCAGGCCAAGTTTGGGCAGGTCTCCATTGAGGGTGGGGCCATTTATTTTACCACCCAGACCATTTAAGTCTCCATTGAGGCCATTTAAGGAAAAAGATGGTGGGCCAGCAGATGCATCAAGTGAAAGATCCTTTTTTAGGAGCCCCTGTAATATGGATAAAAACAAAATAAAGTTAGATTAACTCTCAACCTGCAGGACCCGCCCGACTGTGAGAGTCAGTTGTGCTTTACCAGTCACAAAATGGCTCCACACACACATAATACACCTTTCTTTTCAGGGCCACTTCATTGACTTCCATTTATTTCCAACCAATTTCTACACCCTTACACTAACCATAACAGATTCATACCCAACCCTAACTCACACCTCAGTCCCAAATGTAACCACTGACCCCAAAACAGCAATTCCCCTCGTTGGGTCCAATGCCTGGACCCTACAATGCACCATTTTTCTAGAAAATTGGCTCCATAATGTATCAAATACTAGAACACACACACACAGCCGTTTGAATTACCAAAAGGATTGCTTTGATTTAATCTAGTTTATTTCTATACTGCCAATTCACAACACGTCAACTCAAGGCACTCTATCAACTGATCTGGTTGAACTGGATCTATAGTTTTCCATTTAAGGAAAACCAGCTGATTGTATTGACTCTTCAGCAATCCCTCACACCCTCACCTGGATGTCAGTTTTATTTTGTTGATGCCATAAATGCAATTTTTAAATCCTGACATATGATATTCACACTCTTAACCATTATTTACCTCTGTAGTGCCTTTGAGACCCAGTCCAAATGGGTCCAGGGAAGCCCCGGCACTCAGATCCTTTTTTGTCAGAACCTTCATGTTGTCTCCATAAGGCTTTAGGATCTCCAGGATATTATGCACATCCTTTTTGTCAAGGTTGCCAAGATTTATCGTTGCTGCCACAATGTCATCCTCTGGGGGAATAAAGAAGAAAGCCAAGCTAATTAGAGTCACTATTCTAATATCATAAGATTAAAGAAAAAACCTTTTCATATGCTCGCATCTTACCAACTTTAAGTCCACTTTTTGCACCAACAGTGTTCGCAGCATTCCCACTAATGGAGAGTCCTTTCCCAGAGTCATCCAGAGCCAGGTTTCCTGAAACACTCGCACTTTCCCCACTCTTTTTTGGACAGTAAGAAACAATGTAAGTTGCATTCATTACAATTCACATCTTTACCTAATGTCTTTCACTTACCATTTTTTCTTTTATGTAGTTATGCCCACATGTCAGGGAATCTACATCAAAATACAGAAGACCAAGGAGCTTTCACCCTGAAACAAAAACACACCCTTATCATTTCTGACATAATTCTGCATTACAGAAAAGTTTTTTAAATCTGGTCAACGGTATAACCCATGCATGCTGTTCAGGTTATACCAAGACAATGATGCCATCTTTATATTTAATGTGCTTTAAAATCTAAACAAGACCAAACATGATTGAAATTAATCAAATTATTTAATTTAACCGGAACATTTCCCCTTTTATCAGCAGTGACCGATGAAAGCTGATTAGAGAGTTTGAAAGAAGGCAACACCTTAAACAACCTTTTTAAAAAAAAAAAAAAAAAAAATGTTGGCTTGGTGGTTAGAGCAGTGTGCTTGTGCTCCAAGAAGATTGCAAGTACCCAGTTTGATCCCCACAGCCTCCACTCTGGGTTCCTGAGCAAGACCCGTAACCCCACACTGCTCCCTGGGCGCCACACAACGGCAGCCCACTGCTCCCCAAGAGATGGTTCAAATGCAGAGAGTGAATTTTCCCCATTGTGGGACAATAAAGGGTTTTACATGTACAAAAGTGGATAGAGATTCTCAACCAACAGACACAAAATAAACTCCAAAGTGCTGCAAATGCTTAATATATCTTCTCCATTAAGACAATGCTTTTTTAAAAGCTTTTCAGAGGGTGTGAAAATTTAGGGGTTTGCCTGACAGAAGCAACACCCTTCATCAGATGGCCTCACGCTTCAGGAATCCCAAACCTCTGCCAGGTTTGGTGAAGGGAATGTATCCATCCAAACCTGTCGGTCTGCATGCATTGTGGCTGACACACACACGCAGTCCTCCTGCCGACCACACCTCACGGTTTTCACCCGCCAACAGCGCAGCGTATTAGCAACTTTCCCCATTTAAAAACAAACCAGGAGGACTTCCTGAATAAAAGCCCAAAGCTGCTGTGATTCAGTAGAAAATACATTAAAGTTCTGATAGATGATCAACCAAACTAATATCCAAGAATCCATAAAGAACTCTGCTTATAGATTTCCCTTTTCCTACTGGCTGCCATGGGGGCCTCTATTTCTATACTTCTTCACACACCAGAAGTTCTACGAAATTATGAAGAGGAAAACACCACAAGCTTTAAAAAACACTGATTGAGGGGAAGAATTTTTTTAGGAGCTGGAATAAATAACTAGTCACTCGTTACCCTAACAGCAAAACAAATCACTAAAGACGATACAGTGGATGGTTTCAACCTCCATAATAGAGCAGAGAAGTCTGACTGCAGCATAAATTAACACATTAGATAAATGTTTGGACCAAATCCACATTTTAAAGTTCAAGGGAAGACATCGTTATGATTATTCCTCATTTAAACCCTCCTTCCAAATCAGCGGAAAACAAAAATGCAATCAATCTGTTGAAAGAAAAGCAGAGCAACAGGCACTTTCTAAAGATACTTCCAGCTAAAATCCCATCTGTGAAAATATTTCACAAACTGGGGTTTGATTTATTTATTTTTTTATCATAATCAAACCCTAATTTGTAAAATATTGTCATGATTTACTGACTAAATGTTAAAAGGCATCCATGCCACAGGATGGAGGGACTCACCGAGTACCGCTGCTAGAGATGTCACCTCTTCAGTGTATCACTGCTGCTTTGTTAGGGATGAGAGGAATCTGCCTGTTAAATGCTTCAATCATCCGGAAGAACGGGTTTGACCGCATCAGGACCGCCCCTATCCTTCTGCCCTTTTTTCATTTGCAAAAAAAACACACCTATATTTTAGGCCAGCGTCTTAAGCAGCCGAAACCCAACTAGAGAGTCCAGGTAAAGAGGAGAAAAGACACGAACCACTCCTTTGAAAACAGCACAAACAACGTTTACACATCCAGGACGACTCCCTTCTAAAAGCTCGCCACATTGTTTTTTTTATGTCATTCATTTGTAATTCTCAGGCTGCGGCCCAATGACATTTCTAAGCCTGTTTGGAGAGATATTATGTTTTGAGTGAACATCTAATCCTGCTGGCCACATATAGCACTTTGCTTCCAGAGCTTCTGCTCTCTTCCTCTCAGTGAAACCATTCAGCAATGAAGGAGACCTGGTTGGAAGGTTTCATGCATGAGGCCTGTTATTTTCACACCACAGGAAACGTCATGTAAACAACCGTCTGAATCCAACGTGTTACATATGTCATGCATAGAAAACAGGTTTATGACTTCTGTTGCAAAATACAGATGCAGCTTATTTAACCAGTAATGCAAACACTCATTACACTGAAAGTGCAAAATAAAAACAATCTAGAAATAATTTACCCTTATTTGAGCAGGTAAATGAGAGTTTGCAAATGGAATGAGTAAGATAAGATATTTAGAGAATATGCATTTCAGACAATACAATTGTGTTTTCTTATTTTAAGAGTAAATTGTCTTGTTCCGTTGGCAAAATGTCTCTTAACTCCTTAATCCAAGAACAAAGGCAATTATTTTAAGAATGACTTATCTAGATTTCAATTTTTCCAGTGAACCTGGCTCAAACTTGTTTAAAAACCGGAGTGGAAGTAATCCAATCAGGGCAAAGTTATCTAATGAATAAGAATGAAGTGCCTTAATGTAACCAAGCCGTTTATCCACGTCTATCCAGTCATCCTTCATGTTATTCCAAACAGAGGCCTTCTTTAGGCAACAATAGACTCCCTCTGTTGGGAGGATCCCCATCTCCACCTCTTTAATGAGAACAACTGATTTTTGACTGCAGGTTTTTGGATGGTAGGTCCAAAAAATAAGTGCATTTGTTCTTGGATTGAGGACGTAAAGGACACACTTTACCAATGGAACAAGACAATTTACATTTAACATAAAACACAATTGCATTGTCTTATTTCACACGCATGTTTAAGAATAAAAATACTCATTCCATTGGCAAACCATTTAATATGCCTACTCAAATTAAGGGTAAATACACTCAATTTAAAATATTTTTACTCATTTCTAGATCGTTTTTCCAGCGTACAGACTCAGTTCTGCAGACAGCGGCCTTGTTGGATGTCGGCACTTCAATCATAATCTGTGGAAATTTATGCTGAAAGGCTAACTAATCCTTAACATGCTAACAATAAATCAGATCAGATCTAGCAAAGCTGAGAAAATAAACCTTAGTTCTGTCTGATCAGAAGCAGTACTGTCATCCTGTGACCGACGGCGGCGTCAAACATTCCTTCAGCCAAATTAAATATCAAAACCTGTGTGAGTCATTACCCAACCCATCCAGCAGAGAAGGACAATGTGATGACTGTTGGCAGAGAAACTCAGCAGGGTGTTGCCTGCATGAGGCCATAGCTAAAGGATGAGCAACTGTAACAAGACTTTATAATTAATCAGAGCTGTTAATGTGCTGCCATGGAGAACCATCAAAGTAAAACCTGACAGATTCAGCAGTTTTAAGCTTCACTAAACAGCAGCTTCCTGTACCGCCAAGGTCACTCATGTAAAACCTGTCGGTCTGATCAGGTTTACTATTTGGTTCCCTTTTTAACTTCATTTCAGGCCTCAGTTTTCAATCTAAACCTTTAAAAAAAAAGGCCATAGCTGCAACATTTGATCAATAAGATCCTTTTTCAAAAAGCTGACATCCACAATAGGTCTGCAGTGGATGAGAATAAAGGACTTATTTTACTAAAAAAGGAAATGTTGACAGCTCCAAATATATCTTTGCTGGATAGAAACGTTGACAAAACAGGAGTAGCTTATTAGGCTGACGGAGCTCAGGCGTTGGCACATCCTCCTCCCAGTTAAATTTCTCACATTCAAGAGAAAAAAGAAAACAAGTTGGAAGCAAAACACTGTTCACCTTTTTTTGCTTCCATTGTTTGTCAGAGGCTACAGAGGGTCGGTGCAGGTGTTCTGTCAGATGAGCATACCTGGTCAGACCAGCATATCCATAGTCAATACAATTTATCCCTTTGGTTTGTATAAAAAATACACTTTAAACTACCTCAACAGGCGTGTATCCCTTTATTCATGTACAAAAAAACCATTTACTTTTTGCCGTTTTTTTCTAAGCCTATGGCGATCTTTTGTTTTTTGTTTTTTTGTACATGACAAAATCATCCCACTTCTTAAATAACCCCCCCCCCCCCCCCCCCCCCCATACCATCCCCTGCAACATTTTATTACTGAATGTGTAAAATTTCTACTAGATATTAACAGTAATGGCAATAATATTGCCCTTTCAACATTTGGCAGGCTGTTTGCTAACAAGCCTAAGAAAAATAAATCAAAGAAGTTTCCTACCATGACTATCAAGCTGATCCCAGTGGGAAATTAGTCACCAACTCTGTATGGGCAGTGATAGCCATGCCTGTCTAGGGACTGACTGCAGTTCTACGAAAAGGTGCCTCAAGATACATGAGATACACACCCATCAAGGTAGTTTAAAGTCTATTTTTGATACAAAACTAAAGGTATAAACTGCAAAGAATTGAAATAAGTCATTTTCTATCAAAATGAGGAGGTAAGTGAGACACTTTGACAATGGAACAAGACAATTTACATATAAAATAAGAAAGAAATAATTAGTTTGGCTTATTTAAAGTACATATTATTTAATTATCTTATTTCAAGAGTAAAAATACTCATTCCATTAGCAAATCTTATATATACATCTACTCAAATTAAGGGAAAATACACTTATTTTAAGAAATATTTGCTTATCTCTGGATCATTTTTGCAGTGTAAATGCAAATCTGACGTCTTGCGCATACGTATTGACTAAGTGTATGCTGGTCTGATGAAGGGGTATACTCATCTGACAGAACACCAGGCTCAGACATACAGCTGTTTTCTCTGAATATGTAATGTGTTCCCTTCTGTTTGCAAACAGAAGGGAACAAGGAAACGCCCTGCAAAAAACTGATATATAACCAAGCCATTTTTTCTTGCACTTTTTCTTGAATTGAGGAGGTAAGTGAGACACTTTGCCAATGGAACAAGACAAGTTACATTTAAAATAGGAAAAAGCAACTGCATTGTCTGATTACAAGCACATATTATCTAATCATCTTATTTTAAGAGTAAAAATACTCATTCCATTAGCAAATCTTATATATACATCTACTCAAATTAAGGGAAAATACACTTATTTTAAGAAATATTTGCTTATCTCTGGATCATTTTTGCAGTGTAAATGCAAATCTGACGTCTTGCGCATACGTATTGACTAAGTGTATGCTGGTCTGATGAAGGGGTATACTCATCTGACAGAACACCAGGCTCAGACATACAGCTGTTTTCTCTGAATATGTAATGTGTAACAAGGAAACGCCCTGCAAAAAACTGATATATAACCAAGCCATTTTTTCTTGCACTTTTTCTTGAATTGAGGAGGTAAGTGAGACACTTTGCCAATGGAACAAGACAAGTTACATTTAAAATAGGAAAAAGCAACTGCATTGTCTGATTACAAGCACATATTATCTAATCATCTTATTTTAAGAGTAAAAATACTCATTCCATTGGCAATTGATCTTATTTACATACTAAAATTATGTCTAAATACACTTGATTTATGAAATTTTTACTTATTTTAGGTCGTTTTTGCAGTGCAGGAGAACTGCCAGAAATCTAAATAAGCCAATTTTTCTTAAAGTGAGTGATTTCTTTCTTGAATTGAAGACGAAAGAGACACTTTGCAAATAGAACAAAAAAAATTTACATTAAAATATATTAAAAAAAACAACTGCATTGTCTTATTTCCAGATATCGATCTTATTTTAAGATTAAAAACACTACACTTGGAAATCATATTTACCTAGCCTACTCAAATTGAGGGTTAATACATCTAATTTAAGAAATGTTTACTTATTTTCAAGATCGTTTTTGCAGTGAGAGCGCACCGCGTACTGGAGGAGTTAAACTTGCAGCCATCACCTTTAAAAGCATGGTTCTTTAATCTCTGATAGATTATTTACATTTTAAAGATAATAGTTCTATTTATGAATAAAAGCACAGATTATGAGCAGCAGTTACCAACCAGGAACAGCATGCACACTGGGTTCTCTGGTCTGCAACACATGCATGTGTTTAACCTGCTGTCACTTTCTAACCTACATAAATAAGTAGAACAGACTTACAGGAGATCTGAGGAAGGTGCAGCCCTGGAGGACAGGTGGAGCTAACAATGACTGAGAGCATCATGACTGAAGGGGAGGTCATTATTGGAGCCCAAACAGGTGAGTGATTACACTGATGCCTGGCAGCTGGGAGGGAAGAGAATCACTGATGAACTCAACGGGTGTGTTTGATTTCAGAGGCTGCTTCTTCCAAGGACGCCGTCTGTCTGGACTGGATCCTTCCAGGTCAATGAAAATAAGGAGACCGGAAGAGTTTCTGCTGTGGATTCAAACAGGTTTAGCCTTCCGTACCCTCTGTCGCCTAGCAACCGGGAGAGTTGACACACAAAGCAGGAAAAGAATGAATACCAAACTTTTTAAAAGTGTTTCTTTTTATTTATTTATTTAGATTGTAAAGTGAACAAAGACTCATTCATGAAAATACAGAGTGTAATAAAGGTGACAACCACCGGGAGCATGAAGAAATAAAACCCAAAGTAATGATAGAAAAGAGGTAGAAAGATATAAGTACATAAAAATCATTGTATGTATAAAAAAAATATATCTGCAAAATCTCTTATATTCAACAACAAAAAATACTTAGTTCAGCAAATTGTGCAAAATAGCAATAAAAAAATTAAACTCCTAT